TGACCCAGCATCTTAGCACCTTTTGCGATTTTTGCCTGGTCTTCTCGTGGATACACTCTTAATCCGCAAAGGTGTTCCAAAAAGGTATAAAAGGTACGTTTTCTAAGAATACCGTAATTCTGGGTCAGTCTGATAATTATTACCCAGTTTATACGCTAAAAGCTAGATCTAGGATAGAAGATAATTTAAGTAAATTTGTGTTTGATATGTATTGACAGCTGATCAATACCTATATCTATTGTATGTTCAATAGATGGGTTTATTTAGGAGAGATCCAACTGGGTTGTTCCCGGCTCAGTAATATTTATCAATAACATGTGACCTAAATAAGATACTAGGTCAACATAAACACTTCTACAATATCTACTCTTATATCCAAATACAAGCAGCAGAATTAAGATATGGGTTCTTACAGTGATTTCACTTGCAGTATAACGGTCCTAGAGCTAAAACTTCATGTAAAAATCTTATTACGGCTGGGCAATATGAACAGGAATTACAGGAAAAGATAACTAAAGAAATTGATCTAGGCAGAATTGTAGGTCCTTTCGAAGATCTTCCCATATCTAACATGCACATATCCCCAATAGAATTAGTACAAAAATCAGATGGAGGAAGGCGAATGATATCACATCTGTCTTATCCTGAAAACAACAGCATAAATGATGTCATTGATCCTAATTTATGTACAGTTCATTACACATCGTTCGATGAGATTGATAAAATTTCAAAATATGAATTTTTATATTTGGGTCAAATGAACATCAAGTCTCCATTTAGATTAATTAACATTTTTCCAGGAGATTTTGATCTTTTACGTTTCAGATTCAAGAATAAATATTATTTGGACAAATGTCTTCCAATGGGATGCTCAATTTCCTGCAATATTTTCGAAAAATTCGTTACTTTCCTCAATTTGTTAATTATTCACACAACGAATTTAGTTGGCGCAGATCATTATCTCGAGGATTTCATTTTCATGGGGAAAACACAGAATGAGTGTCGAACACTAATGACATATTTCAAATCATTATGTGAGGATTTGGGGATACCACTATCAGAAGACAAAACAGTCGGTCCGACTACCATGTTAATATTTTTAGGCCTAGAAATTAATACAACCACATCCCAAGTAAAAATTCCTCAAGAAAAGTTAGAAACATTAAGAGCACTACTAAGCATGTTCTTAGCTTGCAAAAAGATCAAATTAAGGGAGCTACAATCTCTAGTTGGCATGTTGAACTTTTTTGGCAAAGCAGGGAGGGCATTCAATCGTCGCTTCTGTAATGCAATGCCAGGGATCGAAAAACCACATTTTAAGATAAGAGTAACCCAAGAAATCAAGTCTGACATGGCAGTCTGGTTATCTTTTTTAGATGACTACAATGGTATTACCTATTTCCCCGAGGAATATACATACATGGGTGTATATACACAGTTAAAATGACAAGCACATACATATATAAGTGTAAATACATATATAATAAGATGGATGGGATTGTAAAATATATACTATAGGTTACATGGTAAGTAATTTAAAATTAATATTGTAAATTAAACAACTAGTAGGCAAGATTAAAATCTGTTTGACATATCAATAAACGTGTGGATTTTGTTAAAAATATTGTTGTTTACATCGATACAGTGGGTTGAGGAACCGAACAGAAGACAGTTAATGTTTTTGAGATCGTATTGTTGTCTATGGTTCCCTTTCGTGCATTTGAGTATAAAGAGCATTGCAAGAGGTAGTGATCAGGATCTACAAACATGTGACCACAGAGGCATGCGGGGCTGTCAGCAACATGTCTGAGGTATTTAGATGATAACTGTTTGTATGAACCATTTCAAAGTGCTTATAAACAAGTTCACAGTACCGAAACAGCTTTAATCCGGGTTTCAAATGATATTTTAATGGAAATTGATAATAGAAAATGTATATTTTAAATTTTATTAGATTTATCTGCTGCTTTCGACACGGTGGACCCTTCCATTCTTCTACATAGACTTCAATTTAAATTCGGTATTTGTGGCTCTGCATTAAATCTTTTAGAGAGCTATCTTGTGGGTAGAAAACAGTGTATTTTAGTTAATTGCAAATCGTCGTCTGAATCTGTTTTGTCATCTGGGGTTCCCCAAGGTTCTGTTCTTGGTCCGATTTTATTTACCCTCAATACGTCACCATTAGGAGATATTGTCAGAAAATATGGTCTCAGCTTTCATTTGTATGCCGATGATACTCAATTATATATTTCATTTACACCTAATTGTCCATCTTCTTTCAATTTATCAAAATTGCAACTTGAGAACTGTATTAGTGAAATTAGAAAATGGATGTCAAAGAACTTTCTAAAATTGAATGATGATAAAACCGAATATTTGTTATTAGGCTCAAGGCATCAATTAAGTAAATCTGCACAAGATAACCCCCCTGTTGTAATTGGTAATTGTGATATATTTTCATCTTATTCTGCTCGTAATATTGGCGCTATCTTTGATAGTTTTATGCTTATGGGAGCTCAAGTAAATAATATTTGTAAATTGTGCTATTTTAATATTAGAAATATAGGTAAAATACGTAAATGTGTAACTGTAGAGGTCACTAAGTCACTTGTTAATTCTCTGGTCACTTCTCGATTAGATAACTTTAATTCACTTTTAGTTGGTTTACCTTTAAAGCTTATAGATAAATTACAAAAAGTACAGAATACTGTTCTATATAATTTACACTGGTTACCTGTTAAATATCGAATTGATTTTAAGATTTTATTACTTACTTTTAAATGTTTAAATAATTTAGCTCCTGTTTACCTCTCAGATCTTTTAAACTTTATACACATGGCCGAACATTACGTACATCAGATAAACTACTTTTAAAGCCGAAAACTGTTCAACTAGTCTCCTATGGTCAGCGCTCTTTTAGTTATCAAGCACCTGTTTTATGGAATAATCTACCATTTAGTTTAAGGTGTTGTACATCTCTGTATTCTTTTAAAAAACAACTTAAAACACATTTATTTAATCAGGCTTTTAACTGACTCTGTATACAATCGTTAACATGCCCATAATCTTGTTGTTTATGTGTGATTTACATTGTCACTTTGTAAAGTGCCTCTGAACATGTTATATGAAAGAGTGCACTATTTGTGGCCCTGTAGGTCAGAACATCGGAGTCTAAGTTTACTATGGATTATCTGGAGTTTCCGCTGACCGTTATAGTAAAAGGATGGAATTTTTATATCTGATTTGGAGAGATGATCGGAGAATATTTTAAGAGTTCTTGAGTTTCTTATAGGGGGGCTGAGTTTATTCCACTCTCTTATACTGGATGGGATAAATGATTTAGAAAATATTTCAGTACGACATCGAATTTTTTTGATTTTATCCGCTTTTCGAAATGAATATGTATTTGTTGGTTCCAGGGTAAGGTTATTTATAATTTTGTATAGTAATTTTACTTTGTGTCGGTTTCATCGTTCTTTGAGTGGAATAAACCCAGTTTCCGCGTAGAGGGAAGCATGGCTAGTACCCTTAACTGCCCCACAAATAGTCCTTAGTGCATCAAGCTGAAGGGATTCGAGATTATTAGATAAGTAGTCTGTGCACGCGTCCCAAATAACATCGGCATAGTCAAAGTGCGGCAGAATGAATGAAGAATATAAGGTATTTAGCGATTTTCTGTTTAAACGATATTTCAACGAGCGTAGGCAGTTTACTAATTTTGATACTTTACTAATGATACTATCAATGTGGCTGTTCCATTTACAATTAGTTTGAAAAGTAAGTCCAAGATGTTTATGTTCAGTTACTTCCTTTATTTTAATTGATTTCATTAATAATGGTGGTTTCACAATGTTGCGTTTAGTCGTGAGTGTTCTAGTTTCTGTCTTGAGGGGGTTAAATGTCACTAGCCACGTTTCCGCCCATATATTGATTGTTTGGAGATCTTTGTTTAGGGTAACTGTGCATGCCTCTGGGTCATCTAATTTTTAGGTAAAGTGAGGTGTCATCTGCAAATAGTCTGATGTTTGATTAAGTATCCTTTACAATGTTGTTGATATATAATAAAAATAATAGTGGTCCCAATACACTGCCCTGAGGGACACCAGCAGAAATGCCCCTAGAGTCCGAGGAGGTTCCATGTATTACGACGCATTGGTGTAGTTCTTGAACCACAATAATAACCCTCCTCGGACCCCAGTAGCATCCAGCTTGTGACAGTCTGGCATGCCAGACTCTTTCAAAAGCCTTGCTTATGTCACAGAGGGTTTTACTGGATATCTCTCTGAGGAATTTAACATACTCTACAGTTAGATCCTACATTTCAGCAATTGCCTTTAAATGCAAAGTTATGAATGAGCAGGATATCACACAAAACTTTATAATTTCAAAACTCTTGACAGGTATGAGGCGGCCAAGGAGCTCAATTGATAAACGTTTTCCTATAACACTTCCTCTACTTTCAAAACTAGTTCATGTACTTATTTACAAATTTATACGAATCAAAATTATTTCAAGCTGTTTAAATACACTGGCATTTTGGGTTTTTTTTCGGGTGGGAGAGCTAGTTTTATCAAAGGGAAACTCAATGAATACAATTCTGTCAATTCAAGACATTAAATTAACCCGTTCTCAAATTATAATTCATCTTCGTCACTCTAAAACAGATCAAGTTAGTTTGGGGACAAAAATAAAAATTCCAAAAGCAAATGGTAAACGTTGTCCTTTGTTTTATCAAGACCTAAATTTGACGGCCACCTTTTCTGTCATTTCGACACTAAGCCCATGACTAGATGTCAATTCACAAGTAGTCAAACAAATGTTTGAGGCAATTAGGGGTGGAATCTAGGAATTACAAGTCACATTCATTCAGAATAGGTGCAGCTACAGCTGCATCAATTGCTGGTCACACCAAAGAAACCATTCAAAGTGCAGGAAGGTGGAAGCCTTCAAATCCTACATAAGAATACCCACTGCTAATATACCATCATTTTAATTTGAAAATGTCAGCTAAAAGCCACGTAAGAATCTGGTGTGTTGGGTCGTCTATCATGAAAAAGGCCGCCACTTATGCCCGTACAAGGCCTGGTGGCTTAAACCTTGGATTAGATTGGTGGAATATGAATATTTGGTGGCAGGGTTAGAGTGGTCTTAAATTCGAAGTCCTTGAACTAAAGCGGACATTCCTACTTACAATAGAATCAACAACACCAGATATACATGTACTGGTTATTCACTGCGGGGGTAATGATCTTGGAACATTAAATGTTGCAGATTTCCGTAGAAAAATAAGGACAACATTTCAATTTATTATAAATAGGTTTCCAAATACTTTCATGGTGTGGTCGCAAATCCTACAACGAACATTTCTGGTAAATGCTAAGGCCTTATCAAAACAAAGGTCCAGAATTAATAATTTTGCAGCCAAAAGAATATTAGAATTAGTGGGCACATTTATACTGAGCGCCATGGAAAACTTATCACTTAGTTTTTCGTATAACAAAATGATCCTGTAAACATATCTTATTTATTTTGCTTCTTATTGTGAACAATATTCAAATGGGAACACATCAATAACAACACATTTGTACACTTATGGATGTTTAATCTGTAATCAACGGTACAAAGTCAAAGGGGTCAAAACCAAAAGTACGACACAGATGTCAGTAGCGCGTGTCCTCCACGGGCTCTTACGCACGCTGTGCAGCTACGTCGCATGGAATTAACCAATGTTTGAAAGAAGGGCTGGGGCAAATTGTTCCATTCTTGGACAAGAGCAGATTCTAAAGCAGCAATGGTGTGCATCTGTGGTCTCCGATACAGACGGCATCCAATCTCATCCCAGACATGTTCTATCGGTGCCATGTCCATAGACATGGCTGGCCAGTCCAAGACATTGATGTTGTTAGCAGCCAGGTAGTCCATACTAAAACGGGCGGTATGCGGACGTGCATTATCCTGTTGGAAGTGCCGAAGTTGTGGGTGCGCTCGAAACATCGGAACAACAATTGGTTGCAAGACATCATCACGGTAGGCTACAGCATTAACGCGACCTCTGCAAATGTGTAGGGCGGTCCGGTGAAGCCTCCCCACACCATTACACTTCCCCCACTCCATCGATTCGTTTCGAAGACACAGCAGTCTGCAAGACGTTCCCCAAGACGTCTCCACACACGTTGACGGCCATCAGCGTGATAAAGAAGCGACTCTCATCACTGAAGAGCACACTTTGCCAGTCTACTCTTCTCCATGTCTGGTGTCCTTGAGCCCATATCAAACGCTGCTGACGGTGATGATCCCTGAGGATAGTTCCAACATAAGATCATTGTGCACGGGGTCCTACTTCTCTTAGACGACGTCTTACGGTGTTGGCACTTACTGGTCCTTGTCTTCCGACGACTGCTGCACCTGTTCGAGTCGCTGGGTGGAATCTGTCACGCAGATGAGTGACCCGGATGTAGCGGTCTTGAGCCTGGGTTGTAACGCGTTGTGGACCAGGACGTTCACGGTCACGTGTTGATCCAGTAACTCGAACACGTTCCACCAACCTTACAATAGTGGACTGATGACAATTGAAGTGTCTGGCAATAGCACGTGTAGACATGCCAGCCCGGGACATTCCCATGGCTTCATTCCGTTGATTTTCAGTAAGTCTCGGCATCTCTAGCTCGATTCCTTCACACGTCCAACAACAAATTACGACAGATTGACGTTTCACAGTTTATGTACTGCACATTAAGTTGAAAACATGCTTTTAAAGGGCTCACACACAATGCTGCATGTGAATATTGGGTTTTTCATGTGCATCTCGTGCAATTTTTTTTTGTGCACATGGGCCGATATTTTTTGCATAATATTATACATACAAAACCACCTAGTAATAAAATATTTGGGAAAAAAAGTGATGCGTTTTCCATGGCGATCAGTATATAAGATATCCAGATATAAAATTTGGCATTAGTCACTTATTCCAAGTGACAGCATTCATCTTTCTGATATTGGTAACAGTATATTCATTAATACACTTCAAGGTGCTTTGTAGCATTTTTACTTGGCTAATGGAAATGTTTATCCATTTCAATATTTGGTGTTTGTATGGAGAAAATGTAATTCATGATATGACCAGCTCAGCTCTGTGTTGCTTTCGTCCCCCATTATGAAGCGTCTCTGATTCCTCATCATGGTAGTGATCCCAATTCGGTCATTACATGCCCATTTTTGGAATCATATGGCGTATAACAAGCAACACAATTAGAAAACTTTCCTGACTTGATTCCCTGATGCTCAGGATCACGTCAAAATGATTCCCTGTCACGCCTCTGGATCACTTAACTGTGTATATATGTTAATGTGTTCAAAATTGGTAATTATTGGTGTTTTAGTGTTTGGAATTTAAAACTTGGTATGCTACGAAGGCTTCAGCATTTATGGATGGACACATGGTTATGGGCATGGAACACGCCAAACTAGTTTAACGGCTGTCAAACATAATAACAATTTAACTCGCTCAGCTGTGCCATATCATTGCCAATAAATTCAGTTTTAATTCGAGTAATTGTTTGTTGAACGTTTATTAAATAAATACAGTATATGTTATCACAAAGTTTCACGCAAAAATTTTGAAAACTAAAACGTTTTCTAAAAATGCCACATTCCCAGACTTTGCTCTCAAACAGAGCTATAAAGTCTCAAAAAACAAAATTCTGAATCATTTTACCCAATACATTTACTCAATTTTTAATAAGATCTAACCATTTACACCAAATGCACCGACTTTTCAAAATACTTTAATCTTTAAATCACTCCATGTGATGCAATAAGCATTATTTTGTGAAATAAGCAAGGTGGTAACAGAAAAAAAACAACATATTAACCCAAACAAAAACAATATTGTTTCACACAAGCTTCACAATGTCAAACCCTAACAAGTAATATCGTCACGAAACAATCAGACGAATTCTCCTTCACTAGACATTTCTAACCGAATGCACCCAATTTGTAACGTACCTGTCTACCCTGATGCGATATGCAAGTGTTCCATTTAACGCATGCGTAATCGTAATGTTTATGTTGTGAAAAAAAGTGAAGATGTCGAAATATATGAAATTTACAAGAGAATACTGGATTTTATCGGACTTTAGTCATTTAGGCTAAGGGAAGAAATCAAAGGCGTGAAAATTCCAGATATGTCACAAAGTTTTAGCCATTTCGATTAAAAAATGAAAAAATGGCAAGAAATTTTCGAGTCGGAGTATCAGCTTAGAACAGACAGTTAGATCATACATCTCGACATACCACATTTTGTCAAGATTGATCTAGCATTGTACGACTTATTCACTGAAACAAAGAAAGAAATCCACTTTAAAGATACATTGTCCGGAAAGTATTTATCGGGTTGTTTCCAATAAAAGTGTGGCAAATGTGGTATATATGGAAAGTATAGACGCCCAATGTTACTAGAAAAATACTGGAATACCCGAAAAACATCCATGGGGCAAGCACTGGGCAAAAATATCAGGGTATCACTAACTGGCAACCCGACTGTTGTCTGCCAGCTTATTGTATATGGTAAATGGACAGTAAGTAATGAAAAATACATTCTGTACAAGAGCATCGCTAACGCTGAAATATATACTCTTCAAAAAAAGTAGGGGATATTGAAATGCAAATACCTATGTAGGTTGTAATATGATAAATAGTCATGGACACTTGACATGCTTTGTGAGTATGTTCACAGATGAAGAACTTATCGCCCCAACAGAAACACTGAGCGACACGCAATAGCACCATACACGTGGGAGGGGTTCATTGTCAAATATGACACTTCAAGGAAGGGTTGATGAAAACTGCCACGTGTTGGTTTATCCTATCCATGTTTGCTTTCCTATCGGTTCTTGTATAAGATTTACTGTTTAGTGTGTTACGTTTAATTTACAATGAAACGTCTCAACATGATGAACATCTACGTGCTATTGGCATGCTTCAAATGGGTTCTACACACGAGCTGTGATCAGCCGAATGGTGGAACCGGTACCAACAAACAAACAATGCTGATGATAGACCTCGTTCAGGTCGTCCTAGAGCCACTACAAAAGCCCAGGATCGATACATTTGTACACAGGTCCTGCGAAATCGAGGACAAACGGCCAATCAGCTTTCTGTAAACTTGTACCAAGCTACAGGAATTCGAGTTACACCTCAAATGATTAGAAATCGGCTACATGCAGCCCATTTGCATGCGCGACGACCGCGTGTTGTGCCCCCATTAACTCGCCAGCACATGGCAAACAGGCGTCAATGGAGAGAGAGAGAGAAATGGGTTTTAACGTCCACTCGACACAAACTAGGTCATTTCGGGACTAACATATGGTTTAATTTTATTAACATAATTCGCTTGCGCGTACAGGTCTTTAGCAGTGGGAGGAAACCGGAGGACCCGGAGAAAACCCACGAGGTTGGACAGGCGACCCTACTCCTTGTCACGTACAACCGGGGATTCGAAACCACGCCAGTCGACTCAATGACAGACTTTATGATACAGCGCGCACACGCTAACCATTCAGCCATCCACCCCCCCAGGCGTCAATGGTGTAGGCAGCTTAGAAATTGGGGTAATCATCGATGGGTGCGTGTAATGTTCTCAGATGAGTCCAGATTTACTCTGGGTTTCACCGATAGGCGTGCCCGCATTTGGAGGCGTGTAAATGAGCGTTCATGCTAACGTAGGTCTGATATGGTGTGGGGAGGAATCACCATGAGTGGTAGAACGAACTTGCATATTGTTCAAGGAAAGGTCACTGGTGAATACTACCGTGACCACATCCTGGCACCGATAGTTCTGCCCTTTGCTCAATGTGCAGGTCGACGTTTCATCTTTCAAGATGATAATGCCCGTGCCCACTGCGCTCGTGTCGTGAATGACTACCTCCAGCGTCACCATATTGTCCATATGCCTTGGCCAGCCGTGAGTCCTGACCTTTCCCCTATAGAGTACATCTGGGACATGATTGGGAGACGTGTTCGTCGACGTCAACCGACAACACTGCAAGAATTGGCCGTGGCACTGCAAGAGGAGTTGGTCAGATTGACCCAAATCGTGATTGAACGGTTGATTAGGAGCATACCACGACGAATTGCTGAATGTCTGAGCATTGATGGAGCAATTACTCTAACAAAAAAGTGGATGTGGTACCATACCCCTTTGGGTCGGTACATGCACCATAATAAATAGTTGCTATCCTTACAGTATAAGGAATAAATATGCCAAGTTCCAAGATGATCCATTTAGAATTCCAGCCTGTAGACAAAAAACACAAAGATAGGTTGCCAGGCAACGAAACATAAGCCCGCAGCAGCTAAATCGCCCGAGCGGTCGACAAGAGTTGTCGCATGTTTATTTCTTTGTAGGTAATTGGGGGCCTTTACAAGACAGTTCCATACAGATCAAATTATAAATTTTGTCGTTTGAGGGTTTACAAAGTTCTACAAACTGAAACAACTTTCATCAATCGAGCATTAACATGGTTTAACAAAGTGAAACAAGGGCCATAACTCTAGAAGTAATCATTGTAAATTGCTGAAATTCAATAATGAATATAAATTTCACAAAGATCCGATGATAACTGTCGGCGTTGGAGTGTTCACAAGGTTCAAAAAAGTGAAATGAGCCATATTTCTAGACGTAATAAACTGAAATTGCTCAAATTCAATAGGAGTGTTCTTTCTACTAACTTAATTGGCACATATAAATTTCATACAGATCAGCAGTTAACTTTAAGAGGTTAGAGCGTTCACAAAGTGAAACAAGGGAAATAACTCTAGAAGTAATAAACGGAAATTGCTGAAATTCAATAGGATTCTTCTCTTGACTAATTTAAATGACACATGTAAATTTCATACAGATCGGCAGAGCGTTAGAGCGTTCCATGGTGCAACAAAGAGTGAAACAAGGGCCATAATTCTAGAAGTAATTGACAGAAATTGCTGAAATTCAATAGGCTTCTTCATTTCACTAATTTAAATCATGTATATAAATTTCACAAAGATCGGGTGATAAATTTTGGCGTTAATACGTTCACAAGGTTCAATAAAGTGAAACAAGGGCCATAACTCTAGATGTGGTAAACGGAAATTGCTGAAATTCATTAGGCTTCTTCATTTCACTAATTTAAATAATGCATATGAATTTCATACTGATTAAGTGATAACTTTTGTCGTTCAAACGTTCACAAGGTAAATTTCAGAAAGATCGGATGATAACTTTTGGCGTTAAGAGCGTTCACAAGGTTCAATAAAGTGAAACAAGGGTCATAACTCTAAACTTAATAAATGGAAATTGCTGAAATTCAATAGGCTTCTTCATTTCACTAACTTAAATATTGCATATAAATTTCACAAAGATCGGATGTTAACTTTTGGCATTAGAGCGTTCACAAGGTTCAACAAAGTGAAACAAGGGCCATAACCCTAGACGTAATAAACGGCATGTCCCCAAAATAATAGAGGTCAGCCATGGGGTATAAGGAATAAGCATAAAAAAGTTTTCAAGATGATCGATTAAGAATTGTGGCCTGTAGACGACACACAGACACACAAAAAGAAAATGGGTGTGGCACTGCCCCATGGCGTTGGGCATGCACCCCAAATGATAGGGATGATCCTTAGGGTAAAAAGAATAAGTATGCAAAGTTTCAAAATGATACGTTAAGAAATACGGTCTGTAGATGACAAACAAATATAAGAAATGGGCGTGGCTCTGCCCATGGGGGTTGGGCATGCACCAAAAACAATAGGGATCATCCTTAGGGTATAAGGAATAAGTATGTAAAGTTTCAAGATGATCACTTAACAATTGTGGCCTGTAGGATCATAACGGACAGCCTTGAGACTGAGAAATTTTTGAAAATATTTGGCACCATTTATAGTACCATAGACAGGCGCGGATTTAAGTGGGCGGGCGGGCGTGTGGGTGGTGGGGGGAGCAAGTGGGAAATTGACTAAAATTTTCAGACCCAGTCCCAAAAATATTAAAAGCTCAACTACATATGCACGCTCGATTCCATTGTGTCATCATTCTTCTGTGGACTTGTCCTCTTATACTATCTCATCACTATCATA